AAGGCACGAGTTCAACCCTTAGTACTTGGTATTGATGATGGGCATTTGACAATACTCGAAGATAAGATAACCAGTTTTTTTATAAGAAATTCTGTTTAACTGTCCAATTTATTTTGACATACATTATTAAAATCGGCATGATTCGACTGCAACTTCCACAGTTATAATTTATTTATAGTCGTATAGATAAATACTTTATATATTTATTATAAATAAATAATGAATCTATACTCGTAATGTGTATTAATAATTAATAATAAAATAATAATTATAAACAAAATATAAAAATTTATTATAATTTTTGAATGTAACTGTTAAGCTATAGACTGTTAAGCTATAGACTGAAGTTCTGACTCCCCATGCTACCGACTTTGATAATATTTCGCAATACTATCAAATAGTATTTTATAGTATTTCGCAGCATATTTGCCACTTCAATTCTCCACCAATGCCAAGACCGGTGAAACGATGATATAGACGTGTATGGTACACATTAGCTTGCGATATTCTATAGATTTCCCTAAAGTGGTAAACAATTGTTAAGATGTTAAGATGATATGTTATAACGATAACTTGTAAAGGCATGATGCGGGTTCGTTGGGTACAACTATTGTGGCGCTGAGCTAGAGTGATGCTATTTAGTTTGAGATGTATTAAGTTAACGTTAAAGATGTATTCTTTTGCCTGGCCTGGCTATGTACCGCTGTTACGTCCCTGTTGAATGATGTTGTGGGTAAGTAAGGCCAAATTGATTTCAGTTTATGCTAAAGCAATTTAAAGCTATTAAATCGCACTCTGTTGTGTCGTTGCTTGTGCATCTGTTGGTAGTTTTAAGTACATGATCGCTGGTTCTATCTCAAAGATTTACCATTTATGCCAAGATACTTTTTTTCATTATACTAGCAGTTTTATAACATATACTAGGCGTCGCCACTGTTGAATTGTTGCTGATAATAAACAGTGATAAATGTTTCTTTTGATTTGAGTACTTAATCCCTTCTAAATTGGTGAAGAAATTGGTGGCACAGAGTAGTCTGCAGTTAAAGCAAAGCGCTTTAAACAATATAACGCCGTAATTCTTTTCGACAAGCATTAGGAGCCGTTATTAAAACTTTATGCCATTTATATTTGTACTTAAACTGTTTATCTTTGTTGTTAGGAAAAATGTGACTTAAGTGACGATAATGTGTTGCATGAAATCTGCATAATAATACAAATGTTGATTAGATGATCGGCTGATCTACATTAAGAGGGACTGCACTGGCAAACTGTGCAGTATTTTTTCGTTCATCTGAAGTTGCACTTGGATTTAGTCGTCAAAATGACTTTTTTGATTTATTTTGATTTATTTTATGTTAGTGCCTCATTATTTCAGTAACATTTTCTCCCATAAATCTTGCCTATGATTCGAATATTTAAAACTAAACATTTTCTTGCAAATGGAAGTCAATTTTATACAATAATATGCAGGTGTTGTAACAAAACAATAATAGTCGTACCACAGAGGCCATGCTAAGCAGACAGGCAGGCCAGACAGACAGGCCACTTCGAGGATTTCTGTATCTAGACCAGTTATTGCAAAAACTGTTACTCAATTCCAAAATTTTCTCTATTTTGGAACAAACAAGAATGTTATGCTGACTGTCATGTGACAAATGAACACATCATTTTCAGGCACTTCCTGGTCATGATCGTGAAGGTATGTTCTTCAGACAGTTAAATCATAATTAACAGTTTTAAACTATTACTGTTTTTTTCAGAGTGGTTCAAAGTCAAATTTTTGAGTAAAATGAAAAACAACAACAATTTCATATATAACGTGAACATAAATAGAAAAAATAATTTTTATTTTAAATTTATTTAGTTTTTCCATTGTAAAACCTATCAACACTTAAGTGCTTAAAAATCTCATATTTCACTTAATTTAATTGCTACTTAAGTGTGCATTGTAAAACTGGCCCTAAGTGTGTTATAATTAGTGAAATAGAAAATGTCCTTATTTAAAACTTTTGTAATATATAAAACTTGTTAGTGCTATTATAAATAATATTTATTATTTTATTAATAGCGCTTTGAACTTAAACGCAATACTATAAGTTATCTTTTTACGATTATTGATATTTTATTGCAATAATTATTTATGATATGGCATAAAAGCACTATAATTTATGCAGCAGACATTAGATATTAATACAGATATGAAATTCTTGAAATTGTTGTAAAAAGCACCTCGAAAATGAAATTTGGTAATAATTGAAATGCAATTTGAATTTGGTATATTGGGGTAATCAAAACAAACTCAAATTTATATCTCAACAGTGTTCCATATAGTTAATTATAATTTGATTTGAGGTCTAATCAAATGTGTTGTGTAAAAGTTTTTTTAGCCAATAATGGAAGACTTAAGAATCGTACGTCATCAGATAATATTAATGAGCTTCTAAAACGCAGTTCGTGAGTTAACCACGAAGATTTCTGATTTCTTGGAATGACGGTAGTAGCTTTCAGCTCCAGTTAAAAATCGTATGACCCATCCATATATGCCGAATGTGGTATGATGTTTATTGGTATATTTAGTCAGTTTAAGACTGTGATGGCCAACTTTTTTGCAAGCGCGTGCCCAATATTAAAATTTCACTATTATATTCTTAGCATGTCTAAATGCTAGTACCAAAAAATTGTTTTAAAAATCAATGTACTTAGATGTTAATATCAAAATTTTCTTTCAAACAGAAAAAAAAGATCGACACATTAAAATCATACTATTTGAAATCCTTGCCAAGTTTTTTTGGCAAAAAGTGTTATCGATGTATAACCTACTTTATCTTCTTTTTTTTGTTTTTTTTTTTTAATGAAGTGTAAAGCAATTGAAAGCTCAGTCAGTGTGAGACTTCAACGCATTAAAATCCCCCCGATTCCAACGGTTAGCCCTCTCGGGAATATCGATTTAGTATTTCGCCAAGAGGCCATCCAGAGCACGAAGGTCAAACGTCAGTTTTTTTTCGTCATTTTAATTAACTATATTTTTCAGACTGTATATTTGCATTCATAGTCGTTTTAGTTCCATCACAGCAGCTGTTCTTCTTTCCTGTTCACAAAGTCGTAGGTGCCACATAATTTGAGTTGCAAACGTTGTTACTGCATTCCATTTAAAGCTGTTTGAACCGACTCTCGCAAATCCTTACATATATAATAAGAATGTACTCTAGCTTATTATCACAAGCTGATAAACACATTTTCCAACCCCATATATTGTTGCAATATGTATGAAGTAAGAACCACAATAGTCTAGAAACGTTAGTGGCAAAGTTAGCGTCAGAAGATGCTAAATCACATATAATATGCATATAGTACATAATATATATAATATAATATAATATTTATTATATATACAGTAGTGCTTTTTATATGAAAACTAAACCATATTTTCATATCGATGTAGAAACATTATTAATAAATATTTGTAATTACTACATTACTTCTTATATTGATATGAGAATTGTTGAAATATCAGAACAACTTTAGAGTCATAACAGGAATTCTAATTATGGCTTAAACTGTCACCTGAAAGGCCGAAGCACCCACCAGAAAGCTAATCTACTTTAATACCAAACGAAAACATCTTTAGGGTAAATATATTTTACCCGACGATGTCTTAAAACATTAAGAATTTGATATATACTTAATTTATTTTGTGGCAAATAAGGCTCAGAAAGTCTTTTAAAGTCCATTAAATGTACACAATAGATCATACGGTCACAGTGTTATATCCCTTCATAATAATAATATAGAGATTTCAATAAACATAATGTTTCTTCCTACTAGTCTAAAAAAATTTGTTTAACACAATAATTCACAATAATTATAAAATGCTAACTAATTTAATTATTTGAATATAAAGGTATTAAGATAAAAATAGATGGCATGAAATTTGATTTTTTTAATGATTGTCAGAGAGCGCTAAGTGCGCTTTAATTCCTTGGTCTTAATTTGCATTTAGTATGACAACATACTTTCGGATATATTATCTCACACCATATCATACATAAAAGAAATCTTAACTGGTAACATAATATGTGTTTACGAGTTTCATATACAAATAAGTCCAAAGTAATCAATTTGACTGTCAGAAGATAATCAGGAACCAAAAATTTAATGTTTTAATCGCATTAGAAATTTGTTTCAGAGAGCCAAAGGTTTGGAATATGAAGGCTTCTCATGTATTATATACATAAGAAAATATTTCGGAAATGTTCAGCTTTAGACAAGAATTTAAACTTCATTTATTGAAAACACTATTTTAATTAGATAAATAGTTACCATTAAATTTACAACTATAAACACAAGGAGTACTAATAATCATATATTGTACTTATTCTCCAATTCTAACTTAAAGAGTTCTCGGAACTGAAATTACTACACAGAGATACGCGTTCGCGCTTGGTTGAAAGTATTAAGTAAGGCTTAAGGTCAGAACTGAAGATCAAACTGAATCCACCAAAGAAAGTATCATTGACATCGAAACAAACACAATACATTGAAGAAATTTGGAGTACACACAAAAGTTTTGATAGTAGTTCCAAAAGTACCTACTGCATTGTATAGTTAACAAAAATTCGACAAATTCAATACGTTACCTCTGTACCCCCGGATAGTCCTGAAGAAATATTGGATTCCACTCAGAAATAATTTAATTTAATCGTAATTGATGAATTAGAGAGGTAAAACGATTAGTTAAATTAATATAATATATTGCAATAATATTGCAATTAATGAATTAAATTAAATACTTCTTGGATTAAATATGATTTTATATTTGTATAAAATTAATATAAAATTATAAGAAAAATATAGATTTAAATATTTTATTTATATTTTATAACAATTATAAAATACAAAAATCTTATAAATAAATAATAAGTGTTCTTATTATTAAGTGATAATAAATGAAGTAATGGAAAATTAATATTTTACTATAAAATACAATTTCCTTTGTCGTAATGATAATATCACAGGTGAAATATTTACACTCCATGTTGATAATATAAATTTAGTAAAGAGAATATTAAAACATTTGTTGCAAAATAATTAATTATAAATGAAATTAATAAACCTCAAGTACTGTTCTCTAATTTTTAATATTTTTTATGCAAATTTAAAACATGATTTCTCATATTCATACGTTTACATGCAGACTGGGTATTTCATATTCACAGATGTGCAGGATTGAGTATCTTCGTTGAAATATAATTTAGCTCCACAATATTCTTCAGATAATGTATAATTGTTTTGACATTGCAAATAGTACTGACAACCATATGTTTCGCTGAGTGCAAGTCCATTCCCACGTCCATCACATCGATCTTCTTCACATTTGATGTAAGTACGAGCCATACAAGCTTCTTCGTTTGGTTCAAAAAATAAATTTTCAGGGCATTGTCCCCATATCGGATTCTCATCTGGTACTCCGACTCCAAGATCTTGACAATAGAAATAACCACGACAAGTAGCACCATCACTAACAAAACGATTACGCAAAGCAATTTTAGAATTCCCACAAACTTGATTTGGATAAGGATGTTGTGCACAATCTACTTGGGCTTTAGGTATGCAATCAGCTAATTCAGCGACATAATATGTACCATCATCGCATGTGACGGACTGTTAGGAAATAAAAATTATTATTACTATAGTTTACACATAATAAAAATTTAACTAGTACCAACCGTTGTTTCTGTGCCTTTTGTGGGACAAGTAAAATATTCGTTACAACTGTCTTCATCTCTGAATGGACTATTTAAAAAAAATTTAATAATTTGATTTTATTAAAAATAGTTATATTAATGTTTACTTACGTATTTGATGGAATAAGGTCGCAAAATTCATATTCAGCTGTACATGACACTTGGTCAGCATAGTCACATTGTTGATTTTTTTGATCCAAAACCATACCATCGGGACAATAACCCTGCTTTACAACCTTAGTACCACTGCATTGGTACCAACCTTGACAATTTTTCGGATCAACTACATAAGTTGAAGAGGTTAGCTTACAGGGTGCACTGCAATATGAGTCAGATGTTGACTTGGCACAGGCGGCAGTTTGGCGATCATAATAAGGTGTTGTTCCACTACAAGTGATCACATCAACACTAGTGCCATTTTGACATTCTATGCCAGTGTCGCAGTAGCCTGGCTTACGTAGTTTGGCACCATCAGCCAACAACCTGCATATATCATTGCCTCCCAAAAACGTTTCTGCTTGATTACTGCCGTCAAAAGTGACACAGAAAATAACTGCCACAATGGTCAGTACAGGTAGGGTTACTATAAAATTGAACTAGGTTAATTATTTTTAAATTATAGAAATGCAAACAGAGCCTACATTTCATTTTATTTTGAATTCACTTGCTATTAAATAACAACTGAAATATTGCTTGACTTTAGAATGGCTTATATAGCTTAAATTCACAGATTATATATGTATGATATCTGAGAATACTTTGGTATATGCATATAATATTTTTATTGTATATATTTACATATGTATTGTGCTGTATCAACTTCGAATGATTTATATTAGTCTTAATTATATGTTCTTCAAGATATTTAGGCATTATTAATTCGAATAGTTAATTTACCGAAGAGATTAGATTGTCAAATTCGAAATCCGTCTAATGATCTACGTTCGAAATGAATCGTATTTCGTTAATGGCAGTCAGTTCTAAACGAAGTAAGTAAACACATATATAAGATTTGGTAGGTGGACAACTTTGATAAAAATTTTCTATTATAAATAGCACATTTTTAAATAGCTTGAATGGATTGATTTATACGTTGCCTTCACAAAGGAATGTTTTGCTCAGACCAAAATGGCAGTTTATCACGGAGCTGAGCAGGCTTCGAAGTTCATTTAAGCAAATAATACTATATATTTTTTTTTATAGAAATTGTATGTCTCGTAGTGATCAATTGTGCAGTGTTCTTGTGGCAGTGAAATGAAAAGGTTGTGTTAAACATTTACTTAAATATTAAATAAATAAGAAAATAAAAATATATTTAAAAAAGGCAGTAATATTAAAAACTTAATTAAAACTAATATAACATCGAAATTATTATTAAGATAAAAAAATATTTAAAAGCAATTTTAGAAATAGAATATAGTATTTATATTAATATTAAATACAAAAAAATAATTAAACAGTCTGCTATATAAACTTTAAATTAAAAAAAAAATTAAAAATAAAAATAATAAAATATACGAGTAAAGAATTTCATATATTAATATAACATATATTAAATAACATAATATAAACTGAAAAAAATATATTTTAAATTAACAAAATAACACAAAACATTTGCTTCCTATTAATAAAAGAATTTAAAAAATTACTTGATCACTTTATTAAAATATATTTAAAAAAAATAAAAAATATAAAATAAAAAATACAGCAATATTAAAAACATAATTCAATTTAATTACAATTTGAATAATATCGAAAATATTATTGAAACAAAAAAATTTTTTAAATTAATTTTAAAAGTAATAAAAAGTATTTTTAATTAATAATTAATACAAAATAAATAAATAATTCGACTACATAAAATCTAAAATAAAAAACAAAAAAATAAAATATACACAAAATATACAAGTAAAGCATATTTTATTATATCATATATATCATATGTGAATATAACATATATTAAATAACATAATACAAACTGGTAAAAAATATATTTTATAATAATAACATAATACAAAAAATATTCTTCCTATTAACAAAAGAACTTAAAAAATTACTTGATCACTTTATTAAAATATATTTCAAAAACAAAAAAAAATATACAGCAATATTAAAAACATAATTCAATAAAAATTTAAATAATATCGAAAATATTAACACGAAAAAATTTTTTAATTTAAATTTAAAAATAATGAATAGTATTTATAATTAATATTAAATACAAAATAAATAAATAATTTTGCTACATAAACTTTAAATTAAAATAAAAAAAATATATAGTATATACATACACAAAAAAACATTTTAATTTTAATATAAGGTATATTAGATACTATATGGTAATACAATTTGACAAAAATATTTTAATGGTTGCAAACATTTTATTTAATAATAACAAAATACAAAAAATTTTCTTCAAATTAACGAAAAAAACTTTAAAAATTGATTTAAAAATCGCTCTTATAACTTTCAGTAAATAAAAAAAAAAATAAAAACATTCTTTTGATTCAAATAAATGCAAAATATTATAAAAAAAAAAATAAATAAATACATAAATATAATAGCAATATTATTAATAATAAGTTTTGATGATAATATAATAATAACGGAATATTAAACAAATTTTATTTTATTTTCTTTATGTACTTAAAAACAATTCTGTTTAAAGAATAAATGAAATAAAATAAAAAAATGTTATAAAATAAAAAAAATTAAGGAATAAAATAAAATTAAAAATTATTTTTAATTATATTGTAAAAATATTTATTTATTTTAAGATTTTTTAAATTTGTTTTCGGACCTTTTTGTTAAAATGATATTTTTATATATTTTTATTCTTGTTAAATAATAAAACTTTAATATTTTTTATTAAAATCTAGATTTCGATTCTACTTGAGAGTCATCATCATTATAAGTTACTATTATTAAAAATGCATAAACGTCCTCCTTTGTTCTATCGTCTATATTGTACTCCAAAAAAAAATATTAAAGTTTTATTATTTAACAAGAAGAGACCTACAGCCGGAATAAAAATGTATAAAAAAATCATTTTTATTTTTTTTCTAATAATTTTTTTTCAAATAAATATTATGTTATGTACATAAATGATTATACAAATTTATATACATATATTTCTTGATAATTTTATTTTACATTGATATTTTGACTATTTTCATCTTAAAAAATAATAAAAGTCGTGATATTATAATATAAGAAAATTCTTTTTTTAATTTAATATATATGCCTAAAGCCACATTAATAAAACAGCATTTTTATATAAATTTGGGCAATTTAATAATACTAAAAAAAATCTTATTGTTTTAATGATCACCATTTTTTAATAATAACTTTGTTTTTAAACAGGCTAATTGATCAATAGTTAAATAATACAATTTTATAAGAAATAAATTAGATTTAAAAAAAATTTTATTTAAACCAATATTTCGCCTATCTTCTATAATCATTTTCAGGTTTTTGTTTAAAAACAAAATTAATAGTAAGATATTGAATAAATTATTTAACCACTTTATACTTTAAGTGCTTAAAGTTATTAATATATTTTAAATTATTTTATATAATTTAATGAAATTTTTAATACAATATAATAATAACGAAATTTAATAAAAAATATTATATTATTTTAGTACTTCTTTTTTATAAATGTGTTTAAAGACGTTATTATTTGAAAAATAAATAAATAAATAATAAATTAAAACTTTAATTTGCATATACATCAATATAGTAAGATAATATAAGAAAAAAAATTTAATTTTTAAAAAATTTGTATTTTAATGATGAAAATGTTATTTTAATTTTAATTTACATTTTTCGTTTTTGGTTATTAGGTCAATTTAATTATTATTTAAAACAAAACACAGTTCTATTAAATTATAAATTTTATTTTATTTTATTTAATATATATTGTTTTATTTTTAATTTTATTTGTCAAAAAGTTCAATATTTCAATCATCTTCAATAGTCACCATCAGTGTTTTGTTTTAAAAAATAAAATTGATTTAAAAGCCTATTGAGAACATTAAAAATATTATTAACTGAAAAAACTATTTTACATGATTTTATAATTTTTTACAGAGTTCTATTAATTAGAAGAGTAATATTCAAAGCTCTATACAATATTAATTATATGTAAATATTTTGTATAATTTTCGTTTTTAATACTCGTTTCAAACCATATGTACTACCATATATTAATGTATACTAATTATTATGTACTAATGCGATTTAGTAGTTTTGATGGATTTCAAAAGTAGTCCACAAATTTGTTCCAAAAATAATTCAACAATTTAAATAAAGCTTATTTTTGGTAGATACTTTACCGAATACGAATTTTTATAGCCTATAACAAGAACTCAACATTCGAAAAGAAGCGGGGTAATAGTGACAAATTGTTAGATCCAAAAATTTCTAATCATACAGCTTCCAGTTTGAAAGACTGCCTACTATCCACCGTCAGTTCTTTTTGAAAACAGCTGTTAGTTTAATAGTTCGTATTTAATTTTTTGATTGCTAACATAATTGCAAACTTAATTCCTTTTTTTTTCGGGAACAATTTAAGATCCCTTAAATTAATTCATCCACTGAGATGTTGATAAAAGCTAATGAACTATATACAAAGCGTAATGCTAGATTATTAAGCTTTGTGGTTGTAAATGTAGGAAAGTAATATTGTTTATATTGTTTCGGTTCAATATCGTGATAATATATAAACAATCTCTAGATATTTGAATAATAGTAGTAATTTTTTTTTCAGAGAAGAAGAAAAAATTTATGAAAGAAAACATATGAAGCAACAACAAAAATGCTCCTAAAATCTTCAGAGTTAGGTTTTACTAGCAAAAAATTTTACATCATAAGTTTCAGTTTCAGTGCAGCCAAATTCAAAAATCAGTCTATTGGGAAACTTCACTGAAAATTTATTGCAAAATTCCGTTAAATTCTATTAAAATCATGTGAGCACTTCATTTATCAATCAATTCAAATACATGAATAAAAAAATTAATTTAAATATATAAGATAGAAATGCTTACCATTGCCCTTCTAATATTCATTTTATTTTCTTTTATTTAAATTAATTTTTTTTTAGTATTCATAATTTTTATATTTCATATTATACACAACACGACAGGAAACATATGGCAAGAATAAGCACTTAAGAAATTTTAATAGTGATGCCAATTTGTTTCAATCAGACTTAATGCTGTTTTTTTGCAACTCTGAAAGAAAAAATTTAGGCTAATATCTTTTTATTACCAATACCAGTATTTTAAGCATTTTTTAACTATTAAATTAGATCAGCCTAGTGAACTTACATACGGGTTTTTGTTTCTTTCTGGATCTCTTGTTAGCTTCTTGGGTAAATTTTCACTTACCTCTTGCTCCAGTAATACTAAGAGTATACTTACATCTGTTTTCCTGAAGATTTTTCACCAGTTTGTGAACAATGTTTTTTTAATAGTTTTTGTTGTGCCTACATACTGTTAAATATATAATATAATATATCGTATATATTATACAATAATATGTAATATATACGAACTTATGAAATTTTAGTTTATTACCTTATAAACTAATAGAATTCATTTATTTATTTAAATATAATTGCCTATAATTTTAGTAATATCAATAATTAATAATAATATCAGTAATATCGAAATTTATCATTCACAGCATTATATTTGACAGTCCTGCTCGTCTATTATATATTGTGACGTTTTGAGCTATAAAAAAGTTGCCCACTCACATATAAGCTCCATTGTAATAAAATTTATTGAGAAGACCTAATTAATTTTTAAGACTTTATTACTTTATATTATAGTATATTATAGCGGCTTTTTTGTATATTATACTTGTAATAATATTTATTGTTATATTTTTTAATGAGGTTGTTTATAATATGTTATTAAACTGCCACTTGAGAACTCAAAATAAAAATAGGTTTTGGTGAGTTGCTTAAATCTTATCGATGTTATTTGAAAATACACATAATTATATCTTATTGCTAAATTAGCTAATTTGATGCCTTTAGTATATTTACAAAAGTCAGTACAAATGTTCAATTGTTCATCTGAGGGTACTTGATTAATATCTAAACCAAAATAATTTTCGGAAAGAATTTTTTTTGACCTAGAATGGGTGCTATGGCATATTTTGATTGTGCGCTCTAGAAAGTAGAACGTATATTTATAATATAATATAATTTAAACAATACAATTTTGATATATATTTGTGTTGATTTAATAATGTAATGTAATGTTGTGCCTTTTCTGAGTTAGTGCATCTGGGCACTTTTACTTTTTGATAGCTGGAGAGTTTCTGCAGAGTCCTAACCATCTCATTGACTAATTTGAATATTCCTCATAATTTTCGTGATTATTCAATGATTGATCTTAGATCTGCGTACCGCCCCGTGCGGTTAGTGATTACTCTGGGATTAGATAGTGCTAAGTAGGGCAGCCTGTCAGTTTTCGCATACAGCTTCAGAGCACTGTCCCTTATATGTTTTTTGATTGGATTTATTTTAAGGTCTCTTAGCATGTCATTCGTGTGGATGTACTATGATACTTTTAAGAGCCTTCGGAGAGCCTGACTTTGAGCAACTTGTAGCTTCTGGATAGTAGAGTCGGCGGCTTTGCTATACGCGACACACCCATAAATTAGTGCTGGTCTAATTATCTGGCTGTACATCAGGTTTCTGTTCTTCGCGCTAAGGTTGTTATGTTTGAAAAGTGGTTGTAAGCCTTGCAGTGTTTTTGCGCAACTACTTCCTTTGACTTGTATGTGCTTGTGCCAAGTGAACCGCTTATCAAACGTGATTTCTAAATATTTAATGCTGTCCTCCCAATTCATGGCGATGTTAAATTAACTGAAAGTTCTATTCATGAAAGGTTAGAAAATATATAATTTGAGTTTGTATGTTTCGAAGTCGAAGCGCAAAAAGTACATTTAAGTAAAGCTCTTAAAATTAACTCACATAAGATTACTTTCAATGTAAATATATTTATATTTGTTATATATAGTTTATATAAATTGTAAGAGTACTTCAATTAAAATACTCTTTACCTCAGAATACGACCCAATTTGTCACTACTGCACCAATACAAACGGTGATAAAATACCAGTACCTAGTTCCCGAAAATATTGAAGGAATCACACAAAAAATTCAATAAATATTTATTGATACATATTAATACATTCTTCGTAGACTGATATAGATAGGGTCTTTAATAGGTGCAGCAAAACTTTTATTCGTTTCTTTTCTTTTAAGAATTCGAAACGAATTCTCTGAAGTTGTAATGTTGGCCTCCACAACAGAAATAATTTGAAAATATGTCAATACTGAACTTGATCCATCATATTCATTGAATTTTTTTGTTAAAATTTTGTCTAAGAGCAATAATTTTGAATCTTTTTTAAATTATGAATTTCAAATATTCTTTATACAGTTTGTATTATAACCATACTAAATAAAAAAAGCATATATTTCTAAAAAATAGTATCTTTTATTCTATATACTATACATTTTTCATATAACAAAATCCATTAAATGTTTATTTGTTTATAATATAAGACTATCAAATAAGTTACAATTGGTATATTAAAGTCTGAAGGATGAAAATATGGTTAATAAAAAAAATATACCCTAATACGCTTATCCATATTTTATGGACCAAGAAATTATCTCCTTTATTTAATTCTATATGTCTTATATAATACATATATATGTATATATTTATATATATATACATGTTTATATTTATAATTGTCAATAGAATAGAATAGAATTTATAAGATATGACATCTTCGATTAGTGAATCTACGGAAATTTTTTTTAATCGAGTTGCTCTTTTAATGCATTTTCATTTATGATAAGTAAATCTAGGGCAAAATGTATAACACTCGAGAGTAATTTAAAACACTGTAGATATTTTGGCAGAGTAGCAAGATTAACCAGAAATTAATAGCTGTTTTATATTTAATTAACAGATAAAGTATAATTTGATTCTATATACTATATATGTATTTGTGAAAAATATAAATGTCTGCTAATATGGCTAAAAAATGTTAGATTACTCTAAAAATCTTTAATTCGATGCAAAATCTAACAGATCGAGAGTAAATCTATATTGAATCCAGATTTACCAATCATAAACGCCAATAATTCATTACTAACAATTCAATATATAATATATTTACACATATATATAATATAATAAATATGTTTAACGCAATTTAGTGAAATAAAATAAATTTACACAATCTTGGCTTTAGTAAAAGAAATTTCTAAAATAATAAATTTTTATAAATTTAAAAATACACCCAAATTTGTTAAAGTTATTATATATAATTTATTAGTCGAAAGTTTAGTTAATAATACATTTTAAATATTTTCTTTTAAAGCTTTTAATAATTTTATAATAAATTTAGAAATTTTTTAAATTTTCAAAATTAGTTTTCTATAGCAACATTCTATTTTTGTTTTTTATTAGAATTATTCAATAATTTAATTATAATAATAACCAAAACATTAATACATTATCTCAGAAATATGATTCAGTAAAAATCTATTAATTTCTCAAACTTATTCGACTTTGGAAATTAGCTTAGTTTTTGCAGGCAGAATATTCTTTACGAGTGCTAGTACATGTTTCGGTGACTTCATCAAAGTAAAGTTTGTCTCCACAATATTCCTCACTAAGTGTGTAATCATTTACACATTCATAATAATATTGACAACCTTTTCTCTCGCTAAGAGCACGACCATCCCCACGACCATCACAACGATCCTCACTGCATTTTACATGAGCACGAGGTTTACATGCTTCCTCTTCTTGATCGAAGAATTCACTTACAGAGCATTGACCCCAGATTGGTGCGCTATCTGGTTTTCCAACACCAAGATCTTTGCAATAGAAATAGCCACGGCAGGTGGCCTCATCAGTAACAAATCGATTACGTAGAGCAATTTTGGAATTGCCACAAACTTCTTCAGGGTAAGGATGTTTATAGCAATCGACTTGTGCTTTAGCAATACACTCACCCAGAGCTGCGACATAGTATAAGCCAGTCGGACAAACCACTGTCTACAAAATTAAAATATATAATTAAGTTCGGTTTTTGTTTAATATATACAGCTATTTACAGTTGTTTACTTATTTAATAATTTATAATAAATAATTATAATAAATATTATAATAATATAATAATAAAAATAATAATTTTCTTACTTCAATTTTTGTTCCTTTGGCAGGACACTCGAAATATTTATGGCAATTGGCTTCATCTTTGAAAGGACTTTTTGTATGTTATTTAATGTAATAAATCATTAGTTTTATATTAAATATATTATTTATTATTTAACTTACATGTTGGCAGGTACAACATCACAAAATTCATATGTGGAACTGCAGGAGAGTTGATCGCTGTAATTGCAAATTTGATTTTTTTGATCGAAATGCATTCCGTCTGGGCAATTACCACGCTTAACTTCTTTTGAACCATTACATTCGTACCACCCATTACAGTTTTTGGGATCAACAACATATTTTGGAGATGTCTTCTTGCATGGTGCTTTGCAGTATGTGTCCGATGTTGATTTAACGCATGTTCCCTTTAAGCGATCATAGAATGCAGTGGTACCACTGCAGACCAGTACATCCACACTTTTCGAATTCTTGCATTCAATTCCAATACTACAAGATCCTGGCTTGCGCAATTTAGCGCCATCTGCGAAAAGTCTACATATGTCGTTATCAGCTGAGAGTGTCTCTTTCTGTATTGCAGATCCAAACAGCGATATTAAGAGAACCACTGTTAATGGTAGCGTTATCGACGAAACTTTTGATTGAAATTATTTAATAGATTTGTGAAATTATTTAAATTATTAATTTCATAATAAAAATATGAAGTACTTACCTCTCATTCTACAAGTTTCAATTCTTCTGTTTATATTTCAAGACAACTGAAGTATTGAAACCACTTTTTGCGGCTTTTATACCTTCGCTGGAGAGGCACATTTGTTCTATTGATTTATTTTTATATTAATAATTATCGTTTTGCTTTGATTATTTTTATTAAATATGTAGTATTAAAATAATCTTTTTAATTTATTTCGTAATAATTTCATGTATTTTAGTTCTATAGAAACATATTTTGTTTAAATTCATTATTTCTTTTTTCTCTACAGATAAGATAGCTTACAGATATTTTATGGTTTCATATGAAAATAAACATAAGAAACATTTGTTCTTTAATTATTTGATTTATATATATATATATGAATGTATAAATATATATATATTTTATACAAAAATTGTGATTAAAATCTAATAACGTGTTTTTTTAATTAAAACGGAAATGATTATAAGTAAATATTACCTTGTCTTAAAATTCCCAACTTGAGATAATATACGATTAGCTCATGTTTCAATAAATATTCCAAATGATCTCTAATAAGTCAATTAATTGTCATAAGTACTTTTTTATAAACACAAATATGAGACTAATTAGAAGGTGGAAATTAGATTAAGTTGTGAATATTATATATATTAGAAATATTAAAAAGTTGTTAATATATTATCAAGTTTTTATAGATAAAAAATTGAGTCATCAATAAAATGAAAACACACCGTGTTAATGATTCTGAGAAATTGCAAAAAAACAACCTCATATAAAGAAGAAAGAAGTCCTCTTTTATCAAGAAATTGTGCAGTGTCAGAATTTGTTGTCTACCATGGACAAATTGTATGAATTACATTTTGAGTTGGTTCCGCACTCATCGTATTAGGAAACCTAAGGAGTTATCAGCGAGATGTTATCTGCACATCATTTAGACTTCCTATCTTGTATAAAATTATCTGTACTTAAAGATTACAAACAATGTTTGCATGATCCAAGCGGTGGGCTTAGAACTTTCAATTGTCCGACTGCTTACAACCACTTTTCAAACATAACAACCTTAGAGTTATAGAAAAACAGAAAACTGATCTACAGCCAGATAATTAGACCAGCACTACTTTATGGGTGTGTCGCGTATAGCAAAGCTGTCGACTCTACTATCCAAAAGCTACAAGTTGCTCAAAATCAGGCTCTCCGAAGACTCTTCGAAGTATCATGGTACATCCGCACGAATGATATGCTAAGAGACCTTAGAATAGATCCGGTCAAAAAACACATAAGGGACAGAGCTTTGAAGCTATATGCGAAAATCGACAGGCTGCCCTACTTAGCACTATCTAATCTAAGAGTAATCACTAACCGCACGGGGCGGTACGCAGATCTTAGATCAATCATTGAATAATCACGAAGATTATGAGGAATACTCAAATTAGTCAATGAGATGGGCGGGACTCTGCAGAATCCCCCCAGCTATCATGGAGTAAAAGTGCCCTGATGCACTAACTCGGAAAAGGCTTAACATAACATAACTGTGTTTTTAAAGCATATTGTTTATCCAGTTTACAATTATCTGCGATACCCCTGTAATCGGAAACTCAATTAGGAGAAATGTGAATTTAGGTTATCTTTTCGTTCAGATGTCTTAACTCTTCTGGATGAAAAATAAAATGTGGATTTAATATTATTTTTAAATTAAGTGTCTTTTAAACTCATTTGTATCTTGGAATAGCTTAAAACGCGAGGAGCCATCATATGAAGTAGAAGAAAGTGCAATAAAGAATGACTAGACTATTTAAGTTTTTCTACTTCAAAGGCATCAAAAGACAAGGTTTCTTTCTCTAAATTACTATTGGTAATAAAAGGGACATATTTTACTGATTCTAAATTAAAATCAGATTGAAATAAATCGGGGCAATCGCCTGAAACGACGTGAAAATGAAACATTAACATTTTCAACGTCATACTATGTATTAAATTGAATTGTAAAGCTCGATAGTAAAAGCTGGAAACAATTTCAAGTGAATGCTATTACGGATGGATTACGCTATTAACACCAATTTAAAGTCAAATTTGGTTTAAAAAATACTTGAACCTAACAAACAACACAATAATCTCATTATGTTATCATAGTATGATATTAGTCGACCGTAAGTGGTTAAAGTGGTTTAAAATTGTTTACCTATGAACATTAAAAATTTAGACCCTACTTGTACCCACCATATATGCTAGACAACCTTCTTACTGTTATTTTAATCGATGAGTAATGCTTTGATAACTTTTATATTGAGTTCATTTGAGATTGTTAAAAAATAAATATCTTAATAGAACTCAAAAAAGTCCATTTAATTTTTTTAGCATTGTATAGAATCATTGGAATTATTTTTTAAAAAAATATCATTTCATAAAATTTAAATATTAAAGATGACTTTAACGTCATAATTAACGTCATAACTAAACTATTTCATTTAATAGAAACTATTATATTTGATAGAGAGGTTTCAAAAAGTACTGAATTGTGGTTTTGGCTGAATGTTTTATTTTAAAAATTAAAATTTAAAGAAGTATTCTAAAATGTAATTCAACATACACTTTAGATTCTTTTCCTTATTTGACCATACTAACCCGTTACCTAGTTAGTACTTTCTCAACTTGATCCCTCCACCGAAGATACGGTCTACTTCTACGCCTTCTTCCGTCAAGTTCTGCTTCAAACACTTTTTTCACTGCAGCATCTTCATAAATTTTTACGACATTTCAAGCCAGCGAGGCCGCTGGATGTTAATTCGCGGAGCCATATCAATGTCGTAATAAAGCTGGTACAGCTCGTTGTTTATTCGTATGCAGTAGTCGTCGCAAACTCGTGGAGGACCAAAGATCCTACGAAGAAGTTTTCTCTCGAATACTCCCAGCGCTGCTTCATTATTCTGTAATGACGTCCATGCTTTTGCGTCATACAGAAGCACAAGGAGGATGAGCGACCCATAAAGCGTTAGTTTCGTTTGTCGTGAGAGGGAACTCTATATCCCAATTGTCTACTGAGCCTATAGTACTCGTAGCACTTATTAACATTGGTGATTCTTCGTCTGATCTCCAGGCTGACATCATTGGTGTTCGTTACGGCGGCGCTAAGATAGATGAAATCCTTGACAGATTCGAAAGTATAATCGCCAGCCACTAAATTTCAGTCGAAATAAATTTTAACAAACTTAGCCACCAAGAATATTAAATTTTTTATCTCTTGTTCTAATTATTTCTAATTAAGTTATCATTATACTTTACTTAAAAACTATATGTTTTAAAATAATATTATTCTAGGCGGATATTAAATAATTATTTTGACATGCAATTTATTTATTGCGTATACGCAATTATATTACTTTAATTATATTAAACTATGAAAATATATCATTAAAAATATATTTTTTTTATATTTGATTCAAATTTATCATTTCATTTTGATTCTAAATTAATTTTTTCAGAATTGTTTTACTTCTAGAAGTATTTTTTAAAAATTAAATAATCGCGCCTTTTATATCAAACTCTTGCATATGTGAGCGATTGAAATCAGTATTAAAAAGCAAATATTTTGTAGTATATTTTTCGAGGTTTCATTAATACGAGCGAAACCACTGGTAGTTAAATTTTCAGCCACAGATATTTTGCCATTAAAGATTTTTAATGTCAATGTGATAGTATTACGATAAATAAAGTATTACGAATAATCTTCGGGTGCATTGGAAATGACAATGGGACATAACATTCTAGATACAACCATAAGATAAAGTAACCATGATTAATGACAACACAGTCACACAATACCTAGGGTATATGTTAGCGCACCCATTTGTTATACATATCATTATCAATAAAGTAATCATCAATAAAATATTAATTTAGCGTAAACGGCTCTCCAACCCAATTAGTAGGTGACTTCTCATACGTGTTTTGTATCTTTGTGCTCTCTTTTTTACACCTTCTTATATTCTACAGACTTTAAGTACTCGATGTAATTGCTCATTAGTAAGCAGTGTGTGTTAGTAATAATTTTGGGAACTTTCGATTAAAAAAGTTGTGATAATCACATTTGAGTTTACTACAATTCCATAAAGTTCAATATAGTAATTCCTTGTTGGTTTCAGTATTATTTTATAGATATGTTTTTTTTTAACAGAAAATTTTCAATGTTACTTTTGACACTATATAGATGAACTCTTTAAAGTCCTGAAATACGTTGTAGAAAAAATCAAATAATAAGTCCTGTCATAAGTTGTATACAAAAAACAAAAAAACAAAAAAAATAAAAAATAATAATAAAATTAATAATTAAATGTTGCTTATGTGTATTATATTTTTCTAAAATAATTATTATTATTTGTCTGTTTACTTTTCAACTACAAATTACTTGTGCATTCTGTTTCGTATTTTAAAACAAAAATAATTATTACAATAATTAATATTTTGCTATTTATGAATAAAATGCCCGGCTTGCAGTTTATATTCGTTTTTCAAAAATTAGTTTTATTTTTGCATTAAAAAAATTATGTATCTTTTTTAGATTTTTGTTTCCAAGGCAAAAATAACAATTATTTTACGTATTTTTAAATAATATTTTTTTTACTATAATAATAATAAAAATAATATTTATATTATAATAATTATTTTAATAAAAAACCAGTAATTATTTTTTAAAAATAAAACCACAATTCAATAATTATATTTTGATTTTTATTTAAAAGGCGAATATGTATAAAGCTTGTATTTTATGAAGGAATAATATTGTGAGAATAATGATTACATACTTAAACAAGACTATAGTTTACTTTTTGCTGTTTTTGTTTTTTTTTTAAAAAAGTTTTTTTAAGTTACTATTATATTCAGTCCTCCTCGGGGATTGCCACCTTGACGTGGTGAGAAGGCTCAGTAGTTACGAAGAATCTTCAAGCGACGCCTGCGGTAGCATGCTACTGGACGGGCCTCCCTTGCCGGCAAGGTCGAATCAGGAGTAATGCAGCAAAGCGCAGTCCACAACGTAGCATCGGTACTCATAATGAGCGGCTCCAAAAGGCTTCCGTTCCTCAGGTTAGGTGTGGCCGATTTAAAAGTGACCTGTCACTACGTGCAAAG